CAGCCCTATAAGGCTGACCATTATTTCACTGAGCTCCTTAGGCTGGGTTGCTTTAGAAGGAGCCAAGTACCAAAGGGCACCCATCTCCACTTTTGAAGTTCTGTATGCCGTATTTTATGATGTTACTGGGGGAAAATCAAGAAAATAGTAAGAGAAAGGCCAGTTCTTTCCAACATTACTTCTTTTGTAGGATGGTATTCACAGTTACTAACACTTTGTGTCTTGTTTCAGAATGAAAAATGTATAGACTTTATACCAGAAGGGTCAGAGCTGCTGCTGGGTCCCTGTGGAATAGAAATCTCTCCAAGATCAGACAGTCTTTTGAAAACATCCGCCAAAAATGTAACATTCGACACCAGTGCTCAGCTAGATATCCAACAGTGAGTTCCCATGAGAGTGACGAAGATGACTTCAGTTTGGATGAAGAAACACATTTCACAGAAGTACTTCAAGATATTAAAACATCCCAAAATGATCTTCTTAACCAAACGACGGATATGGTCATTATGATAGCAAGAATCCAGGAAAAGATAGACCATTATGACACACAGATAGAGATCCTACAAGCCAGAATGAATGCTAATGAAGACAAACAAGCCGCCATCACCAACGATATCCTCTCCCTGAAAGAAAACATCGATGTTTCAAAGAAGAAGATGACAGAACTGGAAAGCTGGAAATCATGCTCCAATATGCCCTGTTTAGAAATTCCAGAGGAAGAATCAAGAGAGAAAATCGTAGAACTGTTTCAAAAATTTGGACAACCAGATGCTCAAAAGAATACATCAGTTTCTACAGATTCAGAAACATCTACAGCAAACCCCAAGGAAGTTCCTATTCCAGAATGTACTCATGGTCTGGAAAAAAGCACAATTTCTCCTAAAATTAAAACTCTGAAGAAAAGTAACCGAGAAAATGCATCAAGAAACTTACAAAAGGCAAAATCAAATATTTACATTTACCCAGACTTCGGAACATGGATCAAACTAACGTTTGTCCAGGGAGGAAAGTGGAGTTTTTTCCTCCATGCCACCAAGTTGGATGACTTTGTCCAGTGGCTTCTATCTAGACCAACCGAACAGCCCGAGGAGCCACTAATCACACCCCAGAGAGAATCTGTCTCCGGTGGATTTATTGAAAACCTGACCAAAATCTGTCTCTCTGTTGTGAACTACTTTTACTGCCGTTTTGGCTTCTCAGAAGTAGAAGTAACTGGACTGTAGGTTCTCCTTGGCCTGGCAGGAAATAAATGCAATGGGTTTGCTCCAAGCATGTATCTTTGTAGTGTCTGTGAACTCTGTGGTAGCTTGCATCCTGTGGGCCCACTGTCCGAGAGGTTCGTACACATCCACAGTAAGTTCAGACACTGCATCCCATTGAACTATTGTGAGCCACTTTCTGTGTGTGTTCATGTCCTCTCACAGCCAATTCATGAGGACTCACCTTTGTGCCTATTTTCATAGGTAACTGGGAGCAAATAATGTAAGGTTCAAAGGAAATATGAAACACATATGGAATCCTCTAAGACAGGATTTTATGTGTGTGTATGTGTTTGCATGTGAGTGTGTGTATAGGATTATGTGTGTGTGTGTGTGTGTGTGTTGGCACTAGAGCCTGAACTTAGGGCCTTTCACTCTTGCTCAGCTTTCTTGCTTACAAGTAGGGCTATACTAATTTGTAGGTCGTGGGGCTTGAACTCAGGGCCTGAGCGCTGTCCCTGAGCTCTGCTGCTCAAGGCTAGCACTCTACCACTTGGAGCAACAGTGCCACTTCTGGTTTTCTAGTGGTTAATTGGAGATGAGTGTCACAGATTTTCCTGTCTGGGCTGGTTTCAAACTGTGATCCTCAGATCTCAGCCTTCTCAGTAGCTAGGATTACAGGCATGAGCCACCAGTGGACAGCACAGTGCTATACCTCTTGAACCATGTCTCTAGTCCCAAATTTGCTGGTTAATTGGAGATAGAGTCTCAAAGACTTTTTGCTCAGTCTGGTTTTGAACTATGATCCTCAAGTTAGCCTCTTAAGTATTTAGAGTTACAGGCAAGAGCCACTGGCATCCAGCCAGAGTCAGTTTTGTATATTCTTTGTCTAGTGGCTTTTGTAGATAAAATTTGTGATAAAAGAGACTGCCTAGCTCAATGCTGGTGGCTCACATATGTAATCCTAGCTATTCAGGAGGCTGAGATCTGCTGATTGTAGTTCCAAGTCAGCCCAGGGCTGGAAAGTAAAAAAGACGCTTATCTACAATTAATCATTGAAAGCCAGACATGGAGCTGTGGCTCAAGTGATAGGACACTAGCCTTGGGCAAAAAGTTCAGGGTCGAGACCTGGCCCTGAGTTCAAGATCCATGAATAGCATACTCACACACACACACACACACACACAAATAAAGACAGCATAGAGTGAAAAAGATACATACTATCAGGAGTACTGAAGTTACACAATATGAAAACGACAGGGATTGAAATGACACCTTGTTTCATGAAAACTATTAATTACAAAAATGAGATTTTTCTTTCAACTTTAGCTTCATCTCTACCAGATAGGCAAGAAGAGGAAAGGCTGAATATGGCTCTGGGTAATTTTTACATTTTCATAAACAGAAACACTGTCAAGCTCCATTTTGTATTTGGGGGTACTTTATGGGCTTTGAAATTAATTGCTGATAGTTTAAAGTGGAAGTCTGACACTTTCTGATTTGTTTCTTTTGCTTTTTTTTGTCAGCCATGGGACTTGAACTCAGTGCCTGGGTGCTGTCCCTGAGTTCTTTCGCTCAAAGCAAGTGCTCTATTGTTTTGAGCCACAGCTCCATTTTCAGTTTTCTGGTGGTCAATTAGAGATAAGAGTCTCAGGAATTTCCTGCCTCAGATCTCAACTTCCTGAGTAGCTAGATTGCAGGTGTATGCCACTGGCACAAGGTTCCTCTGCTTTTTTTTTTTTAACTCATCCTGGGGCTTGAACTCAGGGCGTAGGCACTGTCCCTGAGCTGCTTTTTTCTCGAGGCTAGCACTCTTACCACTTGAGCCACAGTGCCACTTCTAGCTTTTCATCAAACCCAGGGCTTCATGGATGTAAGCACTCTACCAGAAAGCCACATTCCCAGTCCCTCTGCTTTTTTGTGTGTGCTTTCTTTTTCCTACTTGCCTGTGTATTACTTAAAAGGTGTTAGATCCACCAGGGTCACTAAGTGAATGGTGAAATATCAGGTATTTGAAAATCAGTAAGAGTAGATGATACATGCATGCCTATGTGAATTTAACCTTTCCTCCACAAAAATACACTTTAAAATCCTATAGTCAGCTGCTGGTGGCTCACTCCTGCAATACTGTAATCCTGTAATCAAGAGGCTGAGATCTGAAAAATGCAGTTGGAAGCCAGCCTTGCCAGGAAAGTCCATGAGACTCTTTAATTAATCATCAAAAAGCCAGAGGTGGATCTGTGGCTCAAGTGGTAGAGCACCAGCCTTGAGCAATCAAGCTAAGTGATAGTGAGATCCCCCTGAGTTCAATCTCCAGTACCCACACAAAGCAACCAAACAAGAAAGATCATGATCATGATCAATAGGGCACTTCAATAGGGCACTGAGAGTGTGAGGAAAGAAATAGGTTCTAGCCAGGCACGGGGGACTCATGCCTGTACTCCTAGCTACTAAAGAGACTGAGATACGAGGGTCATGTTTCTAAGCCAGCACGGACAGGAAAGTCTGTGAGACTCTTTGTTTTGTTTTGTTTTTTGGTCAGTCGTGGGGCCTGAACTCTGGGCCTGGGCGCTGTCCCTCAGCAATTCAGCTCAAGGCTAGCATTCTACCACTTGAGCCACAGCACCACTTCCGGCTTTTTTCTTTTTGCTTATGTGGTGCTGAGGAATCGAACCCAGGGCCTCATGCATGTAAGGCAAGCACTCTACCACTGAGCCACCTTCCCAGCCCATCTCTTATCTCCAATTAAGCACCAGAAAACTGGAAGTGGCACTGTGGCTCAAAGCAGTGGAGCATTAGTTTTGAGCACAAAAGCTTAGGGACAATGCCATGGCCCTGAGTTCAAGCCCCATGACAGAAAGAGAAAGAAAGAAAGAAAGAAAGAAAGAAAGAAAGAAAGAAAGGAAGGAAGGAAGGAAGGAAGGAAGGAAGGAAGGAAGGAAGGAAGGAAGGAAGGGAAAGAAAGAGGGCTGGGAAGGTGGCTCAGTGGTAGAGCACTTGCCTTGCATGCCTGAGGCCCTGGGTTCTATTCCTCAGCACCACATAAGCAAAAAGAAAAAAGCCGGGAGTGGTGCTGTGGCTCAAGTGGTAGAGCGCTAGCCTTGAGCTGAAGAGCTGAGGGACAGCGCCCAGGCCCAGAGTTCAGGCCCCACGACTGGTCCCCCCCCAAAAAAAAGGAAGTTCCAGTGGGAGGCGTTTGGGCTAACAAGGAAGGTGAATAAGTGAATAAGGATAATTATGGCTGAAAATAGCTTGTTTGAGTATGAAACCACAACAATGAAACTTGTTGAAATTGTTTTAGGATGGGATAAAGGAGAGTGATAGAAGGAGTGAGATTAATTGGAATACATTGTATACACACATGGAAATGACACAATGAAATCCCTTTCTGTGTAATTTTAAAGTATATAATATGTAAATTTATAACTATATTTGTGTAAGAATACTGTCCTGTGTCAGATGTTGGTGTCTCACATCTGTAATTCTAGCTACTTGGGAGAGTGAGGGCAGAAGAAGTGAGGTTCGAGACCAACCCAAGCAGAAAATTGGGAGGAGTTATCACCGGCCATCCCCATCTCCTGTGGTCCAATATCATCCTCTGGGATGAAGCTGTAAAAAGTGACACAATATTGATGCCACTTGCACTATCTGTGTCCATAATAAATCATCATAGGTTCCTTGTATCCTCGACGGCCACATCTGTGGAAATGGAGGACCCAAATTAACTGGGATGCTGCTTAGGGACAGCTTGACAAATGGCACCCAATGTGGGGCCACATAAGGTCACAATGCCTTTCTGGAAAGAAGATAGAAGGGCTGTGCAGAGAAAGTTCAAGGAATATGTGGAGGATTTATAGGGCCCCATAGCTCAGGTTACTGCTCGGTGGAAAAAAGCACTCATGCAGTACATGACCTCCCTACCATTCCTTACCTGTGGTTGAGTCAGGATCCCATGCAAATACGTCTACTCTTTCCCCCAGGATTTCATTAAAGTTGGTGCCCTGAGGACTGGTGAGGTGGAAATCAAACTCAACAGCCTTAGAGCCAGCGTGATTTCATCTCCACCAACAGGGGGTGCTAGGCATCCCTTTAAAATCCTGTCTGTCTGTCTGTCTATATTTACCAGTTTCAGAGCTTAAGATCAGAGCCTTGCTTTCTCACTTGTCTTTCTTGCTCATGGCTAGTGTGCTGCTACTTGAGATACTACCCCAACCCTACTTTTTGCTGTTAATTGGAATGAAGTTTCACTTTCCCACCCAGACTGGGTAGAAAACCAAGAACCTCTGGATCTCAGCCTCCTTTAGTAGTTAATATTACAGGTGTGAGCCACCAGTGGCCAGATAGAGTACATTCTTCTTGGAGTAGATTCACAACATGTGGTTGCTGTGGAAGCCAGGAAAAGAAACTTTGTAAAAAGAGAGGATTCTGTTGGTGTTTCAGAAGCCACCACTGCATGCCACAGCTGTGACTCCTGTGGCCTATTGGTCTTTAATGAGCATTTGTTAAATTAGGTACTAGTGGCTGGGAATGTGGCTTAGTGGTTGTGCTGAATTTGCATATTTATAGCAACATGCTTAGACTTAATATGTTTTACTTAATTTATTTAAACACTTAAAATACAATCCATACCAATACCTAACTCTTATGCCTAATTCTACTAAGCATGTCCCATACCCAGGGAAGCTCACGTGGCAAGTCACTTGGCCCGGAGGTTAAGCGAAGTCTGCCAAGGGTGTCCTCCAGGCTGCTCTGAGTGGCTGAAGGGAGAAGCAGCTGGCTTGCTGGGACAGCTCCAGTGGAGGGTAGGTCCGGCATGGAATCACCTTGCTCAGGGAGGCTGTTTTGCTGGGTCTCTGCTGCACTGGGTTTTTATATGTTTTAGGCTGGGCCTTTCATTTCTGGCTGATTATCAGGGTTGCCTCAAAGACAGCTTTGCTTCAGGCCACATCTAGCAATCGATAAGGGCAGAGCTGGCTTGCCTCTGCCTGGGTCTGATTATCTGGTGGGCTAGTTGCCTTGGTGAT